GGAAAGGCGGGGGGGAGGCAGGAATCTTCACTCTCCAGAGCAATTGGTGAAGCCTGAAGTTTCCTACCCACAGGATAAGGGCTCTGCGCTCTGTTCCTGCCCAGTTAGGAGGATGCTCACCTCTTCAGATGTCACATCTGACAGTGGCAAAGAGCCAGAGCCCCAAGAGATGCCTGTAGGCATTTCCCACGCTGTGCTGCCATTACTCCTCTTCCAGTCCTCCAAGTCCTGTCTCGGGGGCTGACCAGTCGAGAAGGGTGCTTGTGGTCTCTCAGTTCAAGACCCATTCTTTGAAATTGCCCATGGGAACACAAATAATTCTGATCCTTGTGAAGCTTTTATCCACACAAAACATGCAGCTTACTTTGCTCCATGAAAGACCCAAGTATTGCATGTGAGTAATAAGTGGTGTTGCAACTGGCAGCATTGAACACTTACTTTTCGTACTGGTTTATGGGTCAGTGGACACACTTTGCTCACGTAAAGGTGTCATCCTGTCATCCTTGTCATCACTGGAAGAGAGACTGCTCACCTAGCTAATGCTCACTTTTCTCAGAGTGTACCAAGTAAAGCTGAATTTTGGCCAAAAAAAGAGAGGCAGGATTTGTGATGGGGGAATTTGTTCGCACACATTCATGCGTCTGAAATTCAATTTAGTTTATGAGGCATTTCTTATTTTCTTCCTGCCCCAATCCCATCCATAAACTTCAAAGATCAGAAGCTGCCAGAGCTGCTTCTATATTGAAAATCCAATAACTCTGCCTTCATGGGAATTAAGTGACTCTGGAACTACTGCAGTTTGAAACAGCATGGGAATGCTGGCGTTTTTATTTTTACAGCCTTCTGATTGTGTTCAGTCAAGTTGGAGATGTGCAGGCTGCTTTGGTTTCATCAAATACTTAAAAGCTCAGAACTTGATTTTACCAACAGCTGTCAAAAAATTGCATATAAGTAGAATCCCTTTTTACTCTGATCTTTTTTGTTGCGAGTCTTTGGAAAAATGCAAGATGAAATTATACAGCTGACCCCTTCAGAGAAGCCATGGGGAAACCAAAGCCTCTGACAGCAGAATATCCGAGCGCTCAGCAGCTGCTAATGAGCATTATCCCTTGACAGAAGGGAAATATCATCTGGGCTGCAAAAATCAGGGAATTAAAGCAGAGGGCGGATTAAGCTGCCTAGCAGGATCAGGCTGGCGGTCTGTCTCTGAGCCAGGTAGAGAGCACAGGTCTCCCACCACTCAGCAGCGTGCCACAGGTGAAGCCATCCATCCCTGCCTGCTTCCTTGCTGGCCAGGGTTCTGCTCTGTTTCCTCCCCACCACAGCTCCTTGTGCTCCGTGCTTGCTGTTGCAGCTTTTCTCTTACTTTGATTGCTGTATTTGTTTGTCCACAGCATTTGCCTCTCTCACGTACACGCTCCCGTTCCCCTGCAGTATACCTTCAGGCTAGGCTTCTGATACGATATACCAAGGACGAAGAATTAATGTTAGCGTGAGTCATATCTCCATAGTTCTAAGCACTGAGCTAAGTCTGAGTCAAACCTCTTAGCCTTTTGGCTACCTAGGGACCTTGTTGTACTCAGGTTTTTAATATTAGATAAAAAAATGAATCTTTAATGAACTAACTTTCTTAGCAGCTTCAACTCTGCTTTTTCTCTTGTGGTAGCAGAACTGCCTCTCTAATGAAGAAAAGTTCCTTTTCACCAAATTGCTCAGATGTGCCAGACTAAGCATGGGGATGAATTTTACATCTCCCCAGCACTGAGATTATTGATCGATAGAAACATTCAGCCACATTAGACAGAGGAGATGCAATATGAGAAGGCAGCATATCACCCGAGAACAGCAAAATGCTCTGGCAGGGTGGAAGGGCCTTCCATGTACCTTCTCAATTTATAGCTCCTTTCTCCCCAACTAGAAGGATGTTACGCTAGCCAGGAATTAAATAATAATGACTTTAAATAGGTCCTGCAAGGTGCCTTGAACTGCCAGCCTCCACGGAGTTGAAGGGGAGGGCACTCAGCAGCTGGCCGGATAAATCCTGTCTCTTATGCTTATATGATGGCACATGCAGTTCCCAGGTGTCACACACACCTTAGGACACAGGGATGTGTCCCTGCAAATAGTATAGAAACTTGCAGATGTGTGGACTGTCTGCAAAAGGCAGCAAGAGTTTTGCAGGTGCATGCTCTGATACAGAAGGATAGAAAAAGCTCACAGCATTTCAGGCTGCTTCTCCTCCATGACACAGTATCTCCTTTTATGATCAAGCATCTTTTATCCTTGTTTCTCAGGGAGATGCTTCCCTGTATCTGTCTCATCCCGTCCATTATCTGATGTCAAACAAACCCATCAGGAGTCTCAGAGGTAATAAGTTCTGTACATCTCATAAAACTGGCTGTCTAGACACACATTTATATTAACGCCATTCCAGGATGCAATATAAGTTCCACTTCAATCAGAAGCCCAGAAAGCCGGGGTAGGAATGAGACCATATAAACACCCACCCAGAGAAAAAGCTAGCACTGACACTTGTGCAGGAAAAGAAGAGGAAGGCCCAGAGTAGATGAGATCCATACCTAGGGGGGGAGCATTTGTCACTGTCTTCTGTACAAACAGTGGGGGATCATAGAATCGGTTAGGTTGGGAAAGACCTTGAAGATCATCAAGGCCAATCGTTAACCTAACACTGCCAGGTCCACCACTAAACCATATCCCCAAGTGCCACATCTACATGTCTTTTAAATACCTCCAGGGATAGGGACTCAGCCACTTCCCTGGGCAGCCTGGTCCAGTGCTTGACAAAAGCACCACCAAATCTGGAAGAGCCAAATTACAAGGAGACCGAGAAGTAGAAGTGTCAGTGAAAATCATAAGCACCCAGCTCTATGCTTGGATGTTCAAGGGTGTTCTCCCAAGGGCAAAATAGGCTCCAGCAAGTGATATGTGCAGCGGTAGAATCCTAAATCTAATTTTTTTAAGTGTGGGGAAAAAATTAGAAGCCTCATTTTTCAAGCATGGGAGCCTCAGGGCTTTTAGGTGGGTTCCCATACCACTGTGCTTTTTTATAAAGCACGTAGGGACTTGATATCAAATCGATTAGAAACTGGTCAGTAGGTTCGAGTGTTAAGGGGGTGTGAACTGAAAGGGCAACAGGTAGACAGCAAGTCTGTGCAAGCTTCACATCCTCAGGAAAGCGGCCTTAGGTACCCAGGCTGCAGCACACAGTGCAGAACGCTCACCAGTACCGTCGAAGGATGCGAGATGCGGCGGTTCTTTCCAGCAGCAAAGCTAGCACAGTCTCAATGCCATCCTCTGCTCCGCTGGTGCTTTCTGCTGGTGGCTGTTTCCCGACATGGAGCACTGTAACCTGGAAGGGAAAAGGGAAAAGCATCTGGTTTGGGTTCCGCTCCCCTCCTCCAAAAAGGAAGGTTATACAGGGTCTCTTTAGGGCACACCCAAATAGAGTTGCATTACCCTTACGGCCTATCAGGTAAATAGCTTTTTGTTGCTTATTTTTTGCGGTGCTGCATTGTGATCTCATGACTGGATCGCCCTTGCCTGGGTTATCTTGGGAGAGCAGGCTGCCAAATGCTGTGCCTGGAGGATCTGTGTTAAAGCCTGTGTCATCCCAGGAGGGTGCCTAAATCCAGTTGCCGACCAATTAGGTTGGTGAGGAGTCTGATAAAGCCAATGGAAATGTGGTTTTGAAGTAGTTAGTGGCTGCTGGTGTCTGACCAGCGCATGACATTGGCTTACTAAAAGAAAAAAAATCAGTATGCACAGAAGGGTAATAATGACAAAAACAATTTAGTGCCCTTTTACCCAACTCCTGATGACTGGCAGAGTTGCTGCTGCTATGCTAATTCACACACAGCTGTTTCCCACAGTGTCAGGAAAATCCTGCTCACTACTGGGGGGATGAATCCCTCCCAGTAGTAATGGATGCAGGCACGACTCCCACTGGAACAACGTCCTGGAGCATGTTTTTTAGGAGTGGGCTTGTATAAGATGGTTGTCAGCAGTTGGGGGAAAAAAAACCGCCAGGCTTTTGACCCTCGGAAGCCCGAAGTTAGTTTGTACCGGCCTTCTCATCCCATGGGCTTTCCAGGCAACAGGAAATCTCACAGCTAGCGGGTTCTCACGCCGTTGCTACTGCAAGATGCTTGGGTTGCCTCTCCTGGTCTAGCCTGGAGTATGTTTGGGCTCAGGGCTGAGCAGGGCCAGGACTGGTGGATGTTTTGGGCTCTGAACTGTGAGGGACAGCCAGGGGCTTCAGGTTTGATTCAGAAAGCTGGTGGCTCCCCGCTGGGTGGTGAGTGGCAGTGGTGTGTTGGAGGCTTTCTTCTACACCAAGGGCATAGCTGAAATGCCACTGGAGATCATGGAAAACGTCAGCGCACTCTCACAAGCCCACATCCCTTGCGTGGCCAGGATTGTATTTGCTCAAGTCAGGCACCAAATCCATGCCTTTCATCTCTCCTCCTGAGCTGCTGGGATTGTGCATAGGTTGAGGCATTACCTATAGCGCTGCGCATCAAAGCCTAAGCTCTTTCAAAGCACTTGAAAATGCAACTCAGAATAACCACCCTTGGCGTAACACAAACACTCTAGACAGGTTCTGGGAAGAATAACCTATGGCGTAGTCGAAAGGAGCATATGAAGGTATCACCCGGGGGGTAAATGGGATCTGCAGCTAAGAATGGGACTGGTCCCTACCACAGAGCATTTCCAACCCTCACCTTGCTTCCTCCAGAAAGGTACCAAGTGGGAAAACAAGCTTTGTAAAAGGCAAACTCTGAACCAAACAGGATTTCTGCTCTTGTCAGACTCTGGGAAGCAAAATCCAGAAGCCCATCTGTAAGAAATGCTCTGCTTGGCTCTCTTCCACTTCAACCTGCACTTATGGCCCCAAAGTATTTAGAGCTTTCACACCAGAAATCTCCTACAAGAAACCCTTCCCTGCTCACAGCTGCTGTCTTGCAGCACATATGCGGGGACCCCTGCACCCGTACATTTTCGTGGATGTATAGAGAGGCTTCACTTGCCAGCAGAGGCCAGCATTGCTCTGCTTGCTGGATGGACACATTCCCTTTTCGTTCAGAAATAAGGTTATGCCTTATTGTAGGCATAATCCTGTGCAGACCACTAATAGCTACCAGCTCTCTCCTGTAGTCTTGGTCTAGAAAAAGCGAGGGGGCGTTCATCTCTATGCCCAGACACTGGCTGGCTCACATGGTCACACAGCATGGCTTAGATCTAGTTATGCCTATTGCTGTAAAAAGGCATTTGAAAAGAGAAAGAAGGAAGAAAAGCCTAGTTAAAAGGGAGGGGTGTCCCCAGCAAAAGCTGACCCAGCAGGCAGAGCACTGGGTAAGCAGCAGGGATTTCTAGCAAAACTTCCTTGGCTTCGTGGCACAAGTCCAGTGCATGTGACAAGTCACTTGCAAAAATCTTAAATGCTCCTCGTCCCTCTGCCGTGTGGTACCTCTCATCATCACAGAGGCCATGAAGCGGCCCTTGAGGTCTAGGGGGAAAACTAAGCAGTCCGGACAACTCGGCTGCCAAATGCTTCATAGGGAGAGCAGGGAAAGTTCCTTGTTTCAGGCTTAATTACCCTCCTGGATTTTGTCCAGCAGTGTTTGGCTGCAGTTAGGTTGCACTGTAGAGGAGCTCCATGGGGTCCTGTTTGCTCTTGGTGCCCGTACACAGCGATGGTGAGGAATACACTTTGGAAGGTACATTGAGAAGTGAGATGCCTCCAGCTCTGGAGAACTTGAGCTCTTCCTCCCAGGATGGACTGTTCCCATCTGTGTTTGGTGCAAAGACCCCCTTCCTGGGCTTGAATATCACCCTCCAACCCACTTCTTCACCCGAACAGCTGGTACAGTGCAGAAAAGTGTCTTGGTTCCTGGAAATGTTGTTGGAGGACCAACCTTGATGGCCAAGGTGGCGGGTTTTTTTTTTGTTTGTGTAGTTTTTGTGCAACACTCCTAAATCAAGTTACACATCAGGGGCTGAATTACCTGACCACCAGCAATCCCTGCCAGGCCCAAGGATGCAGATTTACATTCATCCTCTCCGTGGTGTGCATCGGGGGCCAGAGATGGACAGCCTCGGGCAGGGCAGGAGGCAGCAAGGCTAGAGCTGGGTTAATGGGCATCTTCTGGAAGCATCTGTGCAAATCCTAAACCCATTGCTTATAAAGAGCTCTTGGGCCAGCCCTGCTGGAGTGGATAAACTGCATTTCTTCAGATGAGCCTACTTGGAGCTCAGCTGGTGGATGGAGAAGAGTTTAGAGGAGCCACAGCACACCTTAAAAGGCTCTGCCCTCCTCCTCACCACTAACACACCCAGCCTGCCCACACAGCAACTTTTGGCAGCGTGCGATTAAAAAGGAAGAGGCTGTGCATACGTGTGGAAAAGCCTGTTTTCTGATCTCATTCCTTGGGCAAGGAAATATCAATGACTCCTACATCCCAGCTGTTCCTCGTTGTGGGAAATGCCGTTCAGTTTTTAAGCTATTCTTCTCTTTCCCCAGCCCATGGGATGCTTCCTGGTCTTCTCTTGGTCATTAGCACACTAACTCAAAAGTTATCTATAGAGCACAAGGAAGGTTAACAGGAAAAAGTACCATTAGTCCTGTTTCTCTCTTCCTTACCAAGCATCTTTTTAAGAAATGTTATTTAACCTGCACACCTCATTTAGGTGTGCTGCTTCAAAAGTCAGTGCCAGAGGTTACATGGGAGCTGCACACAAGTTAACCTGCCTAAAACCAGAAGAAACTTTCACGCTTTTAATCAAGCCCTTAATGCAGAGGTAGAGATAAGACACACGATGCCCAGCAGGGAACGATGCCCAGAGATTTGTCTTATATAAGCTTTCGTGGGAACATTATTTTAGGTAAACCTCAGTGTAATGAGTCATCATGCCTGCTGTAATTAACTTCCATAATGAACAAGGAGATTAGCAGCAGGATTATGGGGGATGAGAATAAATATGGGTTTAAATTAGATAAATCTGGGAGGTAAAAAGCAGCTTGTGAGAATTAAGTCTTCTGCAGTGAAACCAATTCTCTTTTAATGCAATATGCGTATTCTTTTCCCTTTTTTCCTTTCTGATCATTAAAGCCCAAACTAATTTTAGTTTGTATCATTTATATTGCCAGCTTGTATCTTTTTTCCTGCCTTCCTTTTCCGTCGTTGAACAATACAGGACTGCTCTTTTCTGCTCACAGATGCTGCAGTTTTTTCTGCTGCTTTTTCACTAGTGCTGTGTTGGGTTTGTTAACTGGAAGGGGAGTGATTTGTTTGCAAGATCAGCTACTTCCTCCCCTCTTTTTATTGAGGGTTTACTAAATATGCTGGCTCACCTTTAAAATAAACCCAGAGTCCCCTCCACACCCAGGAGATCCTACATGTTTGATGTTCTAGCAAGTAAATGCCTCTTTAAATGCTGAAAAGTTCTAATACAGACAAGCTGAATTTGCAACTGAATGCTTGCTCCTTCTGCAAAACAGCAGGGTAGGAGAGAGAAGGGGGAAGACAGTGATGCAGGATGGGCAGCCTGTTGGTATTAAAAGCATAACAAGCCTTACTTTTACCAGTCTGGGCCCTTTTAGCCACCGAGGTGGTACACTGTGTACCATCCTCCCCAAGAAAGTTATTCTCATTGTCAAATTGATTTGGGCCAGCTACTGAGAGCTTCTTGTTTGTATTCATGGATTTGTGCTTCTCAGCAAGCATCCAAGTTGGGGCTGAGGTTCAAGTGAATCTCCTGCTGTCTCCCCAGAGCCTCTAAAGCTTTACAACAACTCGCTGGATGCATCGCAGAGGGAGGCTGTCTCCTTCTCGCTGGCGCAGAGGGAGCTTGCCATCATCCACGGACCGCCTGGCACAGGGAAGACCACAACACTAGTAGAGATCATCTTGCAAGCTGTACAGCAAAACCTGAAAGTGAGTATCAGTGGCAGGACTGTGGTGACAGTGATCACCTTGGTTTATTTTGCAAACTCATTGAGCTTCATGGCAGCTGGAGCAGATCCAGCAACAGCCATGCTACACTGCAGTCTGGCTTGGCTTACAAAGACCAGGGAGTTTCCCCTTATCAGCTGAAGTTAGGTGCAAATAGAAGCTTCAGAGCTCGGGTTTGCTATTTATTGAAGAGCCTGCACTAGTGCTTCAAAGCAAGATGAGAATTGCCTTTGGAGTCTGTGGAGGTGTCAGTGGTTTATTCCCCATAAATATGTGTTGGTCTACCTCCCTCTGCTGAGCATCTTCCTGCTCGGACGTTGTTGCTCCAGCATTTTGCTGTCCTTGGCAGTAACAAGCTCTTGGTTTCTCCCCTTGCAGGTCCTGTGTTGTGCCCCTTCCAACGTTGCTGTGGATAATCTGGTGGAAAGGCTGGCTGGCTACAAAGCCCGCATCCTGCGGCTTGGGCACCCCGCTCGCCTGCTGGAGCCCATCCAACAGCATTCCTTGGATGCAGTCTTGGCCCGCGGCGACAATGCCCAGATAGTGGCAGATATCAGGAAGGACATCGACCAGGCCTTTGTACGTGTCCCTGCAACAAGCCCTATGTGGGTTACCTGAATGCCAGCTCTCTAGATTAGCAGTGCCTGATCTGCTAGCCAGGCAAGCTACTTTGTCTCTAAAACTAAGGAACTAAAATTAAGGAACAACTCTGCCACCTCTTGGATGTTCTTAGAAGACAATCACTACAGCCAGGTACTCTGGGTTGCCCCAAAAATCAGTGGGTAGAGGCAAGTCACAGTGCCTAGACCTGATGCGAGCCACGGGCAGCATGCAGCCAGCCTGCACCCTGGTTGAACCTGGTATTTGTGGGTTCAGGGCACCATGAGCCCACAGGGATGCTCCCAGTCTGGATCTTACTGTGTACAGGCAGGGATAAAATATTGGTGGGCATGAACATCTCTGTGGTCAGTCAACAGTAGAAAGCCTGCTTCAGGGAAAAGGAGAGGAAAAAATAGCATGGTGCAGGGGGCTAACAGTGACAGTTGGAGATGCATGTGGCCCGGATTAATCCCATTTACTCTGACTAGGAGGCATATAACCTGGCCTTGGAGGAAAGGAACTGGGGTGCAAGCCTGGCAATTTTAGAAACAAGGAAGGCTTCCAGCCTGAAAAGGTGTCTCACAGAGAGCCTCTCGAGCAGGGGCTGCCTGAGCCACCTCAGTCACCTGCCACCAGTGCTCATCTTCATCTGCTGTAGAAGGAGCCAAGGGCAAAGCTTCTAGCTGAATTCCTCATTGAAGTGGAAAATCATAGTCATTACCGCTGTGTGGGGAGATGCCGCAGTGCCCTGCTCTCCAGATTATTTGTCTGGCATTGTTCATGCAATCCTCTTCACCAGAGTGCGAGAGAAACATTCACATCATTAATTCACTTCCTAACGAGATGTCTGGCTGTCCTGACACTGCCTCCCACTCTCAGCCACCTCAAGTAGAAAGCAGAGTACACTACGAAAATGCATCCTTAATTTCTTCTTTCACAACCCAATTTTCCTAAACTTAATTTACAAAGTAGCTCTTTTACTTGAGATGATAGGTTTTGATACTAATTAGATTTTTTTCCCCGCCTCCCGCTTCCGGTAGGAAGCCATTTTGCAGATGCACCCAGCTCAGAGATCCCGTCTCCATCAAAGATGCAGGAGGGCATCTTCATACCCCTGCACACATTGTGTCATACTTGCCCTGCCCTTCAGTAAGACACTGCACATTTACTCTTTTTAGACGATGCAGACCAAACATGGCTTTCAGCTCCATGAATATTAACCTGCAGCCACCGCTATGGCAGCGGCTTCAGTTTTCCCAAATGTGGTTATGCATCACCCAGTGTTACTGTTGCTGAGCAGTTGGCAAAGTCACTTGGCAGACAAGTTGTTCTTGCACATAACGTAAGGGAGGGAGAGGGCACCTGAAGGCTGGGTAAGGCAGTACTTCTAGCTGAGGCAGGCTCACAACGGGAACTTACTTATCTGCTGGGATGGAGACCTGGTTGTAGTCACAGCTCTACACCAAGTCTTTTTTAACTTCTTGATTTATTTTGCTTCTTTCTCACTAGTGGTTAATTTTCCCTTCTCCTTGGGAGGCACTCTGAAAGGTGGGAGGAGGGTTTTTTTTCCCACTGTTGATATTCCACAGTAGAAGGGAATTTGGGAGAAAGCAGAGCCTTCAGCACTAAGGTCTCTGCTTCCTCCCTAGAGCACAGGGTGTATGGTGATGAGAGACAGAAACTGGCCACCAAGGCTTGTTCTGCCCTGAAATCCCAAACAAAAACCCAAGAGCTAACATACTGCTACAGTTCGGCTTGCACAGCAATGCGTTGAGCTGCCCATGATGGGGTCTTTCACAGAAGATGCACCCAACTCATTAGCACCTCTTTCTCTGGGCTGCAGAGAGCTCACCTCTGAGGTCCTGGCCCATCTTTCCCTCCTCCTGCCTCAGTTTCTCCCCTGCAATGTCCCCTACTTGCCCCTGTAATAGTTTCTTCCTTTGTCCACTCCACATTTTGACTCTTCTCACTTGTTTCCTTCACCACTACCCCCAACCACAGGGGAACTAATAATATAAATGAAACTCCATGCTCTCTTTGCACATTTTCTACCCTTTTGTGTCTCCTTTCCTCACCTGTTCAAGCTTCTAGATAACTGCAAGCTTCTAGATAGTCTTTGCACCAACAAGGATGCAGTCCCACAGTACCTGAGCAAGAAAGGCAGCACAGGTCCAGCAATGCTGAGCAGGATCAGCCAGCAGTCCAGATCACCAGACAGGTCCAGGTGATGCAGCAGCTCTGCAGTCAACCCGGGAATAAAGCCAGACCCAGGACACAAACCCCATAGCTCAGGGAAAGGGCAAGGGCAAGGTCTGGCCTTAAATGCAGCTCCCAGACCAATGAGTGTGTGGGTGGGGGCCCAAGTGAGGCAGGTGAGGACAATTAGAGCCTGCTGGCACCCACGGAGCCCTAACGAGGAGTGCGTGGGAGCCAGGCTCACAGTGTGCTATGCAGTATCCTTGGGGCTGGCTGCCAGTGCTCTCTTCCCTCTGCACCGGGCTCCCTGCTCCCTCAGCTGCTTCCCGAGCTGGGAGTCAGTCAGGTGTTTGGATCTTAATGTCACCAGCCAACATCGGAGAACAGTTGCTGTTGTTAATTTACTAACTAGATCTTTTTTGCAGAACAGACATTAAACTTGGCCCTGCTGGCACCACCAGTTTTGCTCTCCAATCCTCCTCCATTTCGAGCAGAGAGGAAGTGGGTGCTAATCTGCTTTGTCCCTTCAGCTCAGTGAATATCAGGACCGGTGTCCACCCTGTCCGTGTAGATTAAGCTACGGAAAAGATGCCTGTGTGGTCACGTTATCTGTGTCTCTGTCTGTGATCCCTCCCCTGTAACTTCTCAGCCTGTCAGCCAATTTTGATTACACTTGACAGACACGTAGAGGTCTCACAGGTATTAAATACCTACAAGTTTAACCAAAAGAGGTGGCTGAGTAGAAGACCGGGAGACATGAATGTCTTTCCTAGGGGAAAGGCTGCAATATGAGCTGAGCCGTGTTAGACACTGGAGAATCCATCCGTACAGAGGATGGTTATAGGAACCATCAGGTCTTATTGGTTTGGCTGCTTATAAAAGCTTCGGTCTGCAGCTTTTTCAGCTTTCTCAAGTCATCAGCCTTACCGCCAAGGAAATAATCCAAACTTCCATCTGAGGGTGTGGGTAGCTTTCTCAAGTGACTTGCAGTGAACAATAGCTTGGCCGTTGTCTCGTAGCTCCTGGTCTGTAGCCGGGGAAGCGCTAGCAACCAGTGGTGATGATTTGATGTATTAGATATATTTAATAGACATTGCTAAAAAAAGCCACGAGCCTGTCTAGATATTGCTCTGAATCATTTACAGCAACTCAGAGGCACCTTTTTACAAATGCAAAAAAGGTGTTTTGCTGCTTTGCCTGGACATGGCACAGTCAACATGGGGAGCACTCCTGCTTCGAGGTCACTTGGAGCCAGAGGGTCCCTGCTTCCCCCGAGCAACAGAGCAGAACGAGACAGGGAGTCCCGGTTCCTCAGCCAGCAAAGGCACAAGACCCTTCTTCCCATTAAGCCTAATCACCATTATACCTTACTCCCTGCTTTGTGCCCAGGTGCTTCGGCTGGTGCATGGACTCGGCGATCGGATGGGCTGAAGCATCTGACCTTCTCCCTGCTGATCTCTGGGGCTTTGGGAAAGTGCAGGGCAGAGGAGGAAGGGCTGAACAGAAGATTTAAGGACAGGGAGTTACTCTTCAACACTTTATGCTCACAATTCAAGACTATCAAAATGTGCAGCCAGAGGAGTTTAAGCACGGACCAACTAAGTGAGAAATCGCTCTCTGGAGCCTGAGTGATTGGTGTTACTCCTGATGCTCCCGGATGATCCGGTGGGCAGTGACAGTCTCATTTTGCTGCTTCATGCTCAGAGCCTGGGGTTGTATTGATATAGTTCATCTTTTGCGTAGACAGAAATACTCTTTATGCCACCAGCAACACTGATTGTGGAAGGGGCTTTCTGGCAGGGAGAGGGAAGAGAACCCAAGGTTTCGTGGGGCTGACTGTGATGAGCCAATGTATCATGGTGGACACAGAGAAGCCATGCTGTATCTGGGTTCTTTGGTTGTCTGAGAAGCTGAACATATCCCTAGGACTAGAAACAGTTTGCTCTATCTTCATTTTCCTATTTTATAGGCAAAATCCAAAAAGGCTCAAGACAAGGGAGAGCGGAGCCATTTTCTCAGTGAGATTAAGGCACTGAGAAAGGAGCTAAAGGAACGAGAAGAAACTGCCATGGCTGCAGCACTTACCCACGCCAGTGTTGTCCTTGCTACGAATACAGGTGCGAGATTCTCTTTTTCTTGGCAGTATTTTACCTCGCTTGCCAGGACTCACATAAACCACGTGCCCTGCAGTGCAGCATCCTGCCAGGACAGGAGGGAGACTTAGTCTTCCTGCTCCAAGCTCCTGGGAGTTCAGTCAAGTTTGCTGCAAGCTCTCAAACTGCTCCACAGTGGGATTCTCCCTGCTTACGCTCTGGCACGTGATGCTGTTGTTTAGCAAAGAGTATGGGTTCTAGAAGGGTCTTTGGCGTGAGCCAGCATGTCCCATCTTTGTTAGTTCTGAGTAGGAGCTGAGCTTTCAGTGAGTAAACAAGTGCTACTGGAGGTGTGCAATCTGCTTATTGATTTCGTAAGTCACATGGAATTGCTTTCCTGCTTGGATAATTTCCATGACTGATCGAATACAGCACATGTGTCCATAGCCTGGTCTCAGTCTGCATGTATTTGGTTAGTTCTGTAAGTCCCCCACGTGGTGTAAACGACATGGGATTTAGGGAACAGTTCCAGGTATTAGGCAGTGCATGTAGGCACATCTGCATCTACAAGCAGGGAAGTAATACTCTTGCGATCGAAGGGGAACATAAGTGCTTAAAGTTTAACACGTGCTAAAGTGCTTTTCCAGATCAGCTGTATAATACTCCCGGGCCCACTTATAATCTTCAGATTTGGTTGCTCAGGGATTATCTGCTGAAGGGAAACATCAATAATTTTCAGTCGTAAAAAAGAACCTCATGGTGCCTTCACAAGTTACTGGTGTGAAGATTAAAGGAAAGATAAATCCTTCCAGTGCATTATTTGCTGGGAATTGGCCTCTCACTTCTTTTAACTTTGCCTGAAAAAATAGGGGGAGGTTTCCTTTTTTCAGTAAAAATGGTATTTTGTGCTGACCGTTGTGTTGATCAGATGTGACTTTCTCCTGGGGTTTGGTAGCCAGTGTGGAGGTCTGTGCAATTCTGCTTCAGCAAAAGGTGGTGGACAAACAAGGGCTTTGGATTTTTGTATTTTTCTCAGTTAAGCAATCTTGGTATTTGTCTGAAACCACGTAGCTTGATGGGAGTTATTATTTATGCAAGCCAAAGTGCTGTGTTGCTAG